AGAACATTAGAAATGTGCATATTGGGACTCATAATCCATGGGCTAGGATTGGCATGCTTAATGGTTCCTACATTTATTGATTCAATAAGCTCTGCTATGTAAGTTAACTTAAAAATACATATGTCCTTATCAAAATATCTATTCTTATAAGGTGCTTATATATGTATATATATATATATATATATATATGTATATATATATATATATATATATATATATATATATATATATATATATATATATATATATATATATATATATATATATATAATATATATATATATATATATTATATATATATATATATATATATATATATATATATATATATACTTCTTAAAGTCAATGAGTTAACTCATCATATTCTATCACTGCCACCACTTCTACAATTTACTCGCTTCACGTACCCTCACTCATTTACCCCACTTTAACTACAGCTGTGTGGTTCACAGCGTACTCTCGATTGTACTTAAAGCCAGATTGAAGTGAATCATAAACTGCTCACTAAGATTTGTTTTTGGTACATCAATGAGTTCTCATGTGTTTCACTTCTATGGTGAGTTAAAGTGGCTTTTCTCCTCCTCCATTCAACAATATTTGACCATTCCCATACCAAACTATCAACTCCCAGCATCCTTCCTACATCTAGAGTCGTCTACAATTCACTTCCTTGGTCCATTCTCAGAAAATAAGATCTTGTGTTTAAGGCTTCTACATCCCTTTGTACATGACTAAAATCTTTGAATGTTCCTTTTTAGCCAACTGCACTGCTATCTCGAATTCCCTACTATTTAATATCTGCCATCCTCCTTCCCTTTCTTCATTCAAATCCATTCTTTGCCATTATCTACTCACATTCCAAAAAAAGTTCTATAATCTTGAAGTTTTAGTGAAGAATAAAATGTTAATTTCTGAGTCTGGTTGATAACTTTCATTTGAGAGATGAAGTTTTTTTAAAACAAATTTTCATAACTTATCTAAGACATTGTTTCTGGTATTGTAACAAAAGTTTACTTATTTATAATCATAATAAATATTTTTAACTAAAACATTTATCATAAAACACATAATTACCTTATTTTTTTAGTGCAGCAGGATTTCCAGATGATCTCACAAGTTACGGTTTGGTCTCTGGACTGTGGTCTTCATCGTTTGCACTTGGTGCTTTTGTTGGACCTTCTGTTTCTGGGTTGCTTTATGACTTGGTTGGTTTCCAATACGGAACATTTTTTGTAATCATCATACATACATTTTTGGTAAGAATGAAGTTTATTGAATTTTTTTTTACAGAACAGTTAGTTTTTAATACATCACAAAAACATATACCACTTGAACTTTTTTTTTTGAGGGGGGGGGAGAATAAAATGTCTCTCATTTAAGTTATCTCAATAAAGTTAAAATGTTCAAAGTACTATAACATATCGCTACTTCTAGTGCAAAAGGTTGCATAACAATTTTTCATGTTTATCTAAATTGTACTAAAGCTGACATTTTGTAGTCTGCAACTGTATTAAGTAGTAGAGAATAGCAGAAGGAAATAAAATACAAAAATTATACCAATAAATCATAAAGAAATAATCAGGTTTTATGCTCTTCTGTAAAAAAACTTAATTTTTGCATATGACCTTTTGCACTAACAGTAGCAATATTATTAATGTATATAATTAATTAGCCTAAATTTTAAAGCCATATGGTTTGTTATCTGCAACAAACAAACAGGAGGTGATGATCGAGCACATTTGGGCTTCGGTCCCAGGATGCTCAGTTCTGAACATTCTGGGTTTAAATTCCACATGGGTTGGTTAATATTTATTTCTTAACAAATCTACTCGTATTCTAAAAAAAAGTTAGATAATTTTGAAATTTTAGTGAAGAATAAAATGTTTGTTTCTGATTCTGGTTGATAACTTCCTTAATTTAATTTAAGAGATGAATTATTTTTATAAAATTTTGTTTTTGAATCCAGATTTTGTAATCTGATTTAACCCATATTCTTCCACATGATGATAATTGGTCATTTCGCAAACAAGCAGCAGTAGACAAATGACAAAAATTTGTCATTATTTTCCAGAAAATAATTGATTATTGTTCCTTTAATTCTAAATTGGGCTTCTCTGTCACTATTACTCTGTCCTTCAATGTGACAGTAATCATTAAAGAAATATTTTAATTTTAAATACATTAAATCCTAATTTTTACGGCGGTGTAAAAAATTACCAGACAAATATGTTTTAATAGTCCTAATGTTTATCTAAGTTAATAAATTTTATATTATAGCTGAAAGAAAAATTTTTGATTCTTCAGATTACTAAATTACCATTACTATTTCTAGTTTATCAGTGATATAAGTTTTAATTATCAACAATCAGGAACAAAAGATTAATAAAAAAATTAGTTCTAAAGATTTTGTTTTTATATCTTTAATTATATTTATAATTATTTTAGCTCTAATTTAATTATAATCCATTTTTCAAATAGAATCATTATAATTTTACTTTTTCATTTCAGTTCATTGGTATAACAATGTTCATTATTACTGAGAAGAAACAAAGAATACCAGAACAAAGAATCCGTCTCTTGAGTCACGTAGATTTAACAACTTCTGAAGAAGAAGGATTCAAGTCTGAAGAAGACCGTTTCAATAAAAAAATGATTGGATATGGAACTATTTCATATGAAACTAAAGAATAAATAAGTCACCGAAACAGGAATCGAAAATCAAAGTTACTTTTATATATTTTTTAAAATGTGTTTGATCAGATATTAATTATTCACTCGAAAGATTTTTGTTTTTTAAATATTAGATAAATTTTATCCTGACAAACTGTTTCCCAAAAAGTAAAATGAAAACTTTTATGAAGTGACGTTTAAAATTTAAAAAAAAAAAAAAAAAGAAAAAATTATATAATTCACAAGTCATATTAATTTTTCTACATTAATTATTAATTAATATATTTTCTAATAAAATTTTGTTTAACATTTTAAACTAAATATTTAAATATACCATCAAACTCTAATATATTAAAATTTTTATTATGACTACATAATTGAACTGGCCCTTGAGTTTAGATGGTTCAAAAAATTAACTCTTCTTTAATTAATTTTAAAAAAACAATGAATTTCAAACACGGAGGCTTAAAATGAAGTTTTTGAATATAGATTCTATTGAAAATGTTTTTTCAAAAAAGATTTGTTATAAAAGTAACTTTTTTTTTCTTATTTGTGTATGAAAACAAAATACCTACTTATATTTAAAAATTAAAGTTATGTGGATGCCCCACATTTGTGGTAAAAAGTATGTTTATTATTGTATTACCATTAATTTTTCATACCTAAGTTTAAAAAATAGCAGTTTTTAGAACTCTTGAGATGTTTGTTAATGTTATAGTTTTCAATTTTAAGACTGAACCAGATCACTTGTATGAGTACGTTGTCATATTTGTTATCTTTTATTGTTATTAGATAAAATTAAATTGACTGTAACAGTTGATTGATTCTGTGATAACTACGAATGCAATGTTGTTACGAGATCGGTATCTTAAATATATTTTATGTTTAAAGTGAATTCAGTTCATAAGTGTGATAGAACTGGAAAATATTAGCTGAAGTTAATATTAATATAAGTATTTATTGCTAAAAGTATTGAAGTTGACAGTCTATGCAAATTATAAAGAAAAATGTTTTATAATAAGATCATGACAGATCAATTTGTAATCAATAAGACAATGTTTTAATTGTAACTTCTTAAAAACTTGTATATATTGTATAATAATGTAAAATCTGATTTTGTACATAAATATTTTTTTTTATAAATTTCTTATATTGAATATTATCCCATCTTTATAGAAATCCTTCTTAATTCACATTTCTATTTGAATTGCAAAACAAACATGATATTTTATGGGTTACATGAATGTAAATTCTGCATTTTGTATTAACCCGTTTGGCACCAGCAGATCCAGGATTTAATTTTTGGGGGGGAGGGTTCAACCCGAAAGCTTTTTTTTCATAAAAATAACGATAATTACCTTGGAAAAACAGAAAGAAACTAACTATCTATATGAAATGGTGTTTAAGTGATTCTGTAAGTACTTTTAAATGTAATTACACGAACAATAATACTTTAAGAGGTATTTTTTAATTTTTTTTTCTATAAAACATGGTTATATTTTACCATTTTTGGAGGGGGGGAGGCTTCAGCCCGAAAGCTCGCCCCGTAGATCCGCCCGTGCCGTTTGGAATAGACAATTAAAGCTAATATTAATAAAGGTATTTGGATTCCAATACGGTATGCCGGGCCTTGGGCATCAGCTGTGGTTCCAGTGTTGAAGCTTATGCATTGATTATAAAGAAACTGTAAATCACGCTCTATCAGAAGACTCCTATGCAATTCCTTCTGTAGACCAGGTGCTAGCTAAATTGTCTGATGGAGTTTATTAAGGAACGATTGACGTTGAACAAGCCTATACTTAGATTCCTGTTGATGAAGAAACTTCAAAGATATTGACAGTCAACACGATAAAATACGAGTGACACGTTTACCTTTTGGCATCAAGGTAGTATCATCAGCCTTTCAACAGGTAATCGATGGTTTACTAGGAAAATTAAAAGATGTTGTAGCATACCAGCACAATATCTATATTAAGGGTGCAACTATCACAGAATTCCAGTCACGTATGATTCAAGTTTTGGAATTACTTGGTGAAGCTGGCTTGAAGGTCAATGTTGATAAATGCGTTTGGCAATTAACATCACTAGAGGCCCTAGGTTTTCAGATTGATAACAAGGGGGTCTACACTACAGAAGATAAAATCTCAGCTATTAAGAATGCCCCAGCTCCAAAGAATAAGTAGGAATTACGATCATTATTGGACCTAATTTCATTCTATGGAAGATATTTTAGAAATAAATCTACCATTCTGGAACCACTGCACCGCCTTCTTGACACTGGCTCTAAGTTGGCATGAAAAGATAAACATTAGCGTGCATTACAACAGGTAATGAATATGCTCTCTAGGGATTTAGTTTTTACTCATTACAATCCAGAACTTCCTCTGGTTATAACAGCAGACACTTCGCCAATTGGAATTGTGACTATCCTTCCACACCTCTTGTCTGACAATGCATCACCAGGGAAGATGATTGAGGTCTCAATTGCTTATGCATCACGAGCTATGACAACGCGGAACACGATTATTTGCAACTCGACCGTGAGGGACTGGCAATAGTGTTCACAGTTAAGAAATTTGGGCCTTATGTAGCTTTCTTTTATTTTCTGATTTATACTGATCATCATCCTTTGCTTGGAATATTTTCTGCTGAGAGACCTACACCACTACACCTCAGTTCTAGGATGCTACGGTGGTCAATTATCTTGAGTGCCTTTGATTATATGTTAATTCACAGATCAGGCAAATCTATTGGACATGCAGATTTCCTCAGCCACCATCCTACACCATCTACTCATGGTTTGCCATTGTTTTCTGAGCCTGCTGGAGTTGACCTAGAAGCTAAGTACTTACACCTACCTACGCCTCAAGATATTGCTAAAGAAACTGAAAATGATGAAGTGCTATCACGGGTGAAGAAATATGTTCATTCAGGATGGCCAGATAAAACTGCTGATAATTTAAATTCTTACTTCAACAAGAAGAATGAACTCTCAATTCAATCAGGCTGTATTCTTTTACATGAGATGGTTGTGATTCCAAAAAGTCTAAGAAACAACGTTCTAGCCCTGACTTAATCGATCCACCATTGTGAGAATTACAGCAAAGCAATTGCACGCAGCATAGTTTAGTGGCCAAATATAGATATGGATATTACTATTACAGTGAAATCATGTCAAGCTTGTCAATTAGTTGTCAATACACCTCCAAGATCAACAGATAGATCTTAGCTACAGGCTCAGTCTCCATGAGAAAGAGTACACCTTGATTTTACAGGCCCCTTTCTTGGAAACTACCTTCTTATTGCAGTAGATGCATATTCAAAATGGCCTTTGTAAAGGTTATTTCTAATTTAATTGCATCAACATTGATCACTCTCTTGCAATATAACTTAGCAGATTTTGACATTCTATCCGTTATTGTTACATACAATGGACGCCAATACACTTCAGACCAGTTCCAATTATTTCTAAAAATAAACAGAATCCGTCACCTCTTCACTCCTCTATGGCATCCTTCTTCCAATGGCTTGGCTGAGAGAGTGGTCCAAACTGTTAAAAATTACTATTGAAATATCAGGACACAAAATTCATGTCCGTTGTAACATGGCAACCCATGGTTACGGTTATTTATGTAACAGGGGACTGTGAAGAGTCACTTGTCTTTGTTCTCGCAAAACGTACCTATTTTGTGATGGCATAATTTGATTGGGAATACCAAAGAAAGCTTGAAAAGTCCTAGGAGAGGCTTTCTGTCGTATCGTACCAGGGATAGTCTCATATTCTGGACCAAGTCTACTGGGGATAATCTCGATTTTGGAACTAATCTAACAGGGATAATATTGGATATTCTCTCATTCACGATCATCCTCTATCATCTAGACGTTGGAGTAGAGAGATTGATTTCTAAAATTTTATACAACACCAGTAAAACGAGGTATAATAACCAATTGTATTTGCTGCTGGACTGGACTTAGGTTAAGTTATTACTTTTAATTATTTGTTCACATTTTTTTTTATTTTCTTATTTGTAATACTCATGTACATATTCTGTTTATAATTAAGTTAATATTATTTTATTTTGTTTGTAGTTTAAGTTTCTTATATTATATTTAATTTTTTATAATATATATATTCTCTTTTTTAAATCTAACATATGAGAATAGAATTATATTTACCATTATTGTTAATTTGGTCATATGGTGTCACATGCACATTGTGGGCCATGAGAACTCGTCCATCAAGTACCACGGGAAAGACACCAGCTGAATTAATGGGCCAACAATTTAATACACATCTGTCGCATCTTCATCCAGCATCAGATCCTAGACCTATGACCAATAACATGGATCAAAGTTCACAATTGGTGAAACTGTGTGGATACTCATACTCAAACACTTAGTCTCAACAAGAAATATTGGGTTGCAGGTATTATTCACAAAATCACTGGTACACACATTTTTGATGTGATATTGCGCTCAGTTGAAGTTGTTAAACATGTTTCCACAGACTATATCAGAGGACGTTATTCCAAAGAACCTCCTGAAAACACTTTATCTCCAACCTCTTTTACTGACTCCCAATCAGATCAGAATATCTATGCACTGGAGAGACCAAATGAGAGATCAAACATGTCTTCGGTTCTTCTGAATGAAAATATATCCGTTCCTCAGAGCTCTTCATCCATCTCTGAGATGCCACCAGTTCATCAAAATGTTTCTCAAGTGGCTTCAGTTAATCTCCATGAGATGCCTTCCTCAAAGGAGGAACCAATTTATTTATCTTCAACTGCCAGTACCAGCAAAGAGATTGAAGGTTCCCAAGAAGAGGAACATGTGACTCATTCATCAAGTGGAGTGGATTACACTCCAGCATTATGTGAGAGCCCCTTTTACGGGTTCACAGAAATTTATGGGCATCCTAGACACGGATCTGCCTCCAGCCAACCTCAGGAACTCAGTGTAACTAGGTATGGTACAGTCTCCCGACCACCAACTTGTTTTAGTGAATGACCTTGGTGTGTGATAGTTCGCAAAATAAACTTTCTTTAAGGGAAAGAGTTGTCCATAGAAAATGTATACATAAATATTTTTTTATAATAACAATTGTGTACAATAATGACTTTTAAATTATATTGTATATTTGATTTACCATATTAGCTCATTAGTATTCTGTTATATTCACCATAAGGTTTCTTACATATGTGAAGTAATAATTGTAATAATTATAGCTTTGTTTCTAATAATTTATAAATATATATATATATATATATATATATATATATATATATATATATATATATATATATATATACAATCTATATCTGACATATGCTAAAGCTCTACCTCAGGGTAATAACCCTCTGACGGGACATATGTAAAATATATTGTTGTTTCTCTCCTTAGGAGGGAGGAGTGTTGTGGACTATCCACTATTATTATATGTGTTTGGAAAGTGAAATATGGCAACACTGGTTTTTGGCACAAGGACACCAATACAAAGTGTAGCTTGGGCAAGCATGGAAGTTGTATGTGACTGACGTACCTAATGTTAATACTTTAAATGTAATAAAGTGATAACCCCTGATTATTGTTTTATTGTATTGATGAACCCCAGAAAGAACGTAAAAGTAACTTTTCAAAAACTTGTATATATTGTATAATAATGTAAAATCTGATTTTGTACATAAATATTTTTTTTATATATTTCTTATTTTGAACATTATCCCATCTTTATAAAAATCCTTCTTAATTCACATTTCTATTTGAATTTCAAAACAAACATGATTGTTTATTGGTTACATGAATGTAAATTGTGCAAATGTAAAAAAACATCATATCGACTCAAAATTATTTCTTATATTAATATAAATAAGTATAAAACTCAACAATAGAAAGGAAATAAATCTTGGTTATAATTGGAAGATCCAACCACAGTACCATGTGTCTCTAAAATCCAGGTAAAAACAAAATAACGGATCGACATTTTTTCTTATATTACTCTCTACCTCACCATTCATGGCCTAGTAAGAGAGGGTTGTCATAGAAGTACAACCAAACCTATTCTAATTAGAGTGGGAAGGTTGAGATTAATCCCATGGGTATACTACAAAATAAATTTCAATCAACCCAGAGTGGTTTCGAATTTGCGCACAGTGGGAGGAGTGAGGCAAAACTTGAGACATAAAAAAAAATTCATAACTTCTGTAATGATTTCAATATGTTTACATAGTTGTTCTTTAGGCTTTTTTAGTATACCATAACCTATTTTCAAAGTTTAAATGTTTTAATGGTAAAATTTTAATAAATCTGTTCTAAATTTTGATACTTTTGCTTTAATTTATATGGCACAAAATTAGAAGTTTTTAAAATTTTTTGTTTAAAAATTATAATGCAATTTATCTTATCTTTTAAATATTTTATAATGAGTACATTGTATTCAGAGGGCTTTAAAACAAAAACAAAAGAAACCCAGATAATCAGTCTCATTAACTAATTTATTTTCGGATTTAAAATTTTCATTTTCATTTCAGAAAACCAAAAATTTATTGAATTTTATTGAAAAAAGTGCTTTAAAAACCTGTAGTAAGGTATTATGTAAATTTTATTCCAAAACATTTCTTCCCACCTCAGTCTTCTACAGAAATAATTGATATTTGAATATAATTATTCACATTTTTGTAAAAAATATAAATTGGTATTTGCCTAAAGTTGTATTAATATATTGCGTTAGTCTAAAAATCTACAATTATTATTGAAATATACATAATTAGGAAGAAACAACTGGCATTTTCTTTTATTATAATGATATATTATCTTGTATAAAAATATAATTTATAATAAACCGAACTATTGTTTCATCACAAGAAAATTTTGTAAAGGTGTAAAGGAGTTCCAGAATGGGTTTACTACCCTGGCTCCATAAGGGATGAGCAGAGTAACCTACTTCATGGTAAAGAGGAGGTTCTAGGTAGGTGACAGCAATACTTTGAGGAAGTATGAGAAGTGAAAAACACCACCTGGTAGGCTCAAGGAACCATTTAGAGGAGGAACTAGAATTAGAAGATATTCTGCCTGAAATAGAGGCGATCAGTGGAATTATCTTGGACCTTAGAAATAACAAGGCACCGGGAGGTGATGGTTTACATGCGGAAATGCTTAAGAATGCAGAAGAGGACATCTGGGAGGAGGTGTACAAGATTATTTTTGATGTATGAAAAGTTGCAAAGAGAATGGTCTGAAGCACCAGTATGTCTGATATACAAAAAGAAGAGCCGGACTGAGTGTAGAAATTATCGTGGAATATCCCTCTTCGGAATAATATACAAAGTGCTCTCTATAGTGAACAGCAGGAGATTATTAAATTGGGCGGAGAAACTAGTAGGAAAATACCAATGTGGGTTTAGATCAGATCTGTCTATCACTGATCATATATTATATTCTCTGTAAGGCAAATGCTGGAGAAATCAAATGAGTGTAATGTAACTCTACACCATGTATTTATCGATTGCAAACGGGTATATGATACTATTGACAGGGAGAATATGCACAAATTCCTGCA